GGCAGCCCAGAAAGAGGGACATTATACAAACAGATGTAAAGACCCACTAACAACAGGTGTGAACGTATCTACAAAGCTGGAAAGAATCCAGTTTCAACCAAGTGGTGTATCAGAAAAAGAGGCCATCCAATGTTGGTTTATGTTTATTTTCCACTGACCCTATCCTTGACCATGTCTCCATCTAAATATGTTCCAGCTCATGCGACGTTCCGTCACCAGGTAATACAACTGTTGGCGCTTTCTTCTTTTTACCCTTTGTAGGGTAAAAAGACATACCACTAGCAGGGTATGTCTTATTTTCAAATCATTAACTATTACTGCCACATAGACCTGTGTTTAATTGAACCACGAAACTGAACCTTATAGCTTCTGGACCTTTTCATTTGGTAAGAGAAAAAGTAAGGTAAAATTTAGTAGGAAATTATCAAATATATTTACCTAATTAATGGATCAAAATTATTCTACTTCTGCCTTGTTTCCTCACAGGTTAAGAGATATGGAGATTTCCACAAGGATTTGGAGGGGATCCCCAAAAGTTACTAAAATTCTGGATTAGCTCTGTCAGGAAAGGTAAAGAAACTAGGACTCTGCTAGGAAAGAGAAGGAGGTTATAATAATGGTTTACTAAAACTTTTCAAATATAGAGGCTCTCAAGTACCTGTTGTGCCTTGCTGGAGAATTAAATAAGAGAAAATAGATTTACGATCCAACCTGAAGAGTTTTAGGTGAGAGGTAAGGAAGAAATGTTCCAATAATTAAACTTTAAGAAGGTTTGTTTAAGTGCTAAGGAGGCAGGTCTTTGGAGAGTTTTTTAAATGATGGATTTACATGTGTCCATTTTGTAAAGAGAAACCATTTTGTTATCCCAGTATAGGGCTTCACACTGTTTCAAGCATTTTTACATATATTAATTCAATCCTTATAATAATTCAGTGAGATAGATATTGTTGTCCTCATTCTATAGATGTAGAAATTGAAGTTCAAAGGTTAAGCAATTTACTCAAAATAATATAGCTGGTACTAAGTGACAAAGTCAGCATTTGAACCCCCTGCTCTGTGTTTTCACCTTACCTGCCAGCTTCCCCTAACCGAAAGCAGGATAATGAGCAAAGGACCAGTGAGACTACAGTTTCCTGAACTCATTCACAGAAGAAATAGTATCTAATATCTTTCCCAACTGTTGCTACACTTACAACAGTGCTTGTCTCAGTCCTTTTGGGCTGCTATAAGAAATTACCAAAGACTGAATGACTTGTAAACAATAAATTTAATTCTCACAGTTCTGGATCCTGGAAGTCTGAGATCTGGGTGGCATCATGGTTTGGTTCTGGTGAGGGCCCACTTCTAGTTACAGACTGCTGACTTCTGGCAGTGTCCTCACATGGCAGAAGGGGCCAGTGAGCTCCCTGGGGTCCCTTTTGTGAGGCCACTAATCCTATTCACAAGGGCTTTGCCCTCATAACCTAATCATCTCCTGATATCACCTTGGGAGTTAGGATTTCAACATATGAATTTTAGAGAGACGTAAACATTCAGTCCATTGCAGTCTCTAAATTCAAGTAGGGTTCAGTCAATGTGTTTAAATTGAGTTGATTTAAACTTGATCCTATCTGAGGAGGTGGCAGTTAAGCAAAGATACCTATGAAACAGTCAGTCATGTGAACACATTGGAGAAGAAGGTGACAAGCAGAAGAAACAGCAAGTACAAAGAACCTGAGGTAGGAAATTGCTTGATTGTATTTGAGGAACAGCCAGGAGATCAAATGATTGGAGCGAGGTAAACAAGAAGAAGAAGCCAGGGGTCAGATCACTTAGTGCCACTGCTACTCACTTTAAAAAGATTAATCCTTAAGAAAACATAACCAACAGATCATGATGCTTCGTAAGAGAAAGGAAGCATGATTAATCTGTTAGAAATTAGAATTATTTATTGAATAACTATCATCCAGGCACTGGGGTAGAACCTTAAGCATATCATCTCATTTAATGCTCACACTAATTCTACAAGGTAGATATTATCCTAATTTTGTACCTTGAGAAAAATGGAACAACGGAAATATTAAGTAACATGCTTCACACAATTAATAGGTGGCAGAGACAAAATATGACCCAGGTTTCTGATTCCAAAGTCTAGATTTTTCTACTGTACCACAGTTTCTCATTTGAAAGACTGTAAGGAGAGAGGGGTTCATGCATACATGCATTCAGCAAATAATTATTCATTTATATGTGACAGGCACTATAGAAATAGTATTAAAATGTAAGATAGCACTTAAGTTTTTATATGATTATACTCTAATCAGTTGTTTTTAAAACTTTGCAGATATATGGACTATAAGGCAATTGCCCAACAAATGGCCCAAGAAGTTTTAGGCTATAATCAAGATACATCAGGCTGGAAAGTGGTTAAAACTTCAGTAAGAAAATAAATTAAATTATGTTTTCATAGTTTGTTTTTAAATAAGAAAAAATTCATTGTAAAGACTTTTATTTAAAAAAAAAATTCTGTGCCCGGTGCAGTGGGGTGCACTTATAGTACCAGCTACTCCGGAGGCTGAGACAGGAGGACCACTGGAGGCCAGGAGTTTGAGGCTGTCATGCACTATGATTGCGCCTGTCAATAGCCACTACTCTCCAGACTGGGCAACATAGTGTGGCTCTATTCTGAAAAATATATATACATAGTTTTAAATTTATTTTTTGACAAACCAGAAAAAAAAATCTTTTTTAATTTGTGTTAGTTTTTCATTTTCGTTTTAATGCATTTGACAGCTAATTATTTGTGGATTTTTATTCCCCTTTGAGAAAAAGATAACTGTTTCCAGTAAGCCTTCTAGAAAATTCCATGGAAATCTGTGAGTACAATTTTCTATTTATAATTACTGTTTTAACTTCAATGGCATTGTATCTGGAATTTCAATGCTACTTTATTAGCTATAATAAATTATTTTATAGTAATAAATAGAAATTATTAAGTCACTAGGTTGAAAAAAATGTGGTATTAGTAAAATATAGCAATTAGATACCATCCAATCTTCTATTTCCAAATCTGATGACAATCAGATAAAAAAAAAATCCCTTCTAATTACTAATTCACTAAAACAGGAAATTTCTACTTCAAGAAATAATTACTATAAAAGCAGATTGGTATTTTCTTGCTAACAATATATTTTATGGAGTTTAAAACCCTTCACCTGTCCATTAAATGAACCACTAAAAAGTAAAGTTTATTTCTTCATTTTATTTTGTTTTTTTTGAGACAGGGTCTGGCTCTGTCACTAGGCTGGAGTGCAGTGGCATAATCTCAGCTCACTGCAACCTCTCCCTCCTGGGCTCAAGCAGTCCTTCCACCTCTGCTTCCTGAGTAGCTGGGACTACAGGCACACACCACCATGGCCAACTATTTTTGTATGTTTTTGTAGAGATGGGATTGCGCAGGCTGGTCTCAAACTCCTAGGCTCAAGCAATCTGCCTGTCTTGGCTTCCCAAAGTGCTGGAATTACAGGCATGTGCCACTGTGTCTGGCCTACTTCCTCATTTTAAATAAAATATGCATTTTTTTCTATATACTGCTTTTAAATAGTTTTAAAGATCATATTATTTCAAATTACAAGTACACTAAGGGAAAGTATGTTGACTTTTTTTAGTTTTATTTTTCAGAGTTCGTTTATTGCTCCAAGGCCATCAGATCATCATAAATTTCATTCAATTCCTTTTGGAGTCCATCACAGGTCTCTTACCAGACATTCCCCAGCACCAGCCCAGAGCCTGGTAGCCCCATTGGGTATAGACCCAGAATAACAATAACTGCAATCTGGCTCTCAGGAAGTCCCATTCCTAGAGAAAGGGGGAGAGCACCAAGTCAAGGGATCACCCCATGGGACTAGACAATCTGAACAACAGGCTTTTAAGTTCCAAAGCATTCCACTGCAATAGCCTACTCAAATAAAAAGAAAAAAGTTATTCTGGTAATCTGACAAAACAGGTTCTATAACACCTCTTAAAACATACCAGGTCCCCAGAAATGGATCCAAACCAAGAAAAAATCTGTGAATTGCCATATAAAAAATTCAGAATGTTGATTATTAAGCTACTCAAGGAGATACCAGAGAAAGATGAAAACCAACTTAAAGATTTTTTTTATTGTACTTTAGGTTCTGGGGTACATGTGCAGATCATGCAGGATTGTTGCATAGGTACACACGGCAATGTGGTTTGCTGCCTTCATCACCCTGTCACCTACATCTGGCATTTCTGTCCATGTTATCCCTTCCCAATCTCCCCACTCCACCAGTGTCCCTCCCTTGTTCCCCCCCAACAGACCCCAGTGTGTGATGCTCCCCTCCCTGTGTCCATGGGTTCTCATTGTTCAATACCTGCCAATGAGTGAGAACATGCAGTGCTTGATTTTCTGTTCTTGTGTCAATTTGCTGAGAATGATGACTTCCAGATTTATCCATATCCCTACAAAGGACACAAACTCACAGTTTTTTATGGCTGCATAATATTCCATGGTGTATATGTGCCACATTTTCCTTGTCCAGTCTATCATTGGTGGGCGTTTGGGTTGGTTCTAGGTCTTTGCTATTGTAAACAGTGCCACGTGTGTCTTTATAGTAAAAAAATTTATAATCATTTGGGTATATACCCAGTAGTGGGGTTGCTGGATCAAATGGAATTTCTATTTCTAGATCCTTGAGGAAGCGCCACACTGTCTTCCACAATGGTTGAACTAGTTTACACTCCCACTAACAGTGTAAAATTGTCCCTGTTTCTCTACATCCTCTCCAGCATTTGTTGTCTCCAGATTTTTTAATGATCGCCATTCTAACTGGTGTGAGCTGGTATCTCAGTGTGGTTATGATTTGCATATATATCCCCAATAATCAGTGATGATGAGCATTTTTTCATATGTTTCTTGGCCTCATATATGTCTTCTTTTAAAAAGTGTTTGTTTGGATGGGTTTGTTATTTTTTTCTTGTAAATCTGTTTTAGTTCTTTGGAGATTCTGGATATTAGCCCTTTGTCAGATGGGTAGATTGCAAACATTTTTTCCCATTCCGTTGGTTGCTACTTCACTCTAATGATGGTTTCTTTTGCTGTACAGAAGCTCTGGAGTTTAATTAGGTCCCGTTTGTCTATTTTGGCTTTTGTTGCCAATGCTTTGGGTGTTTTAGTATGCCTATGTCCTGAATGGTTTTACCTAGGTTTTCTTCTAGGGTTTTTATGGTGTTAGGTCTTATGTTTAAAGCTTTAATCCATCTGGAGTTAATTTTAGTGTAAGGTGTCCGGAAGGGGTTCAGTTTCTACTTTCGGCGCACTGCTAGCCAGTTTTCCCAACACCAGTTATTAAACAGGGAATCCTTTCCCCATTGCTTGTTTTTGTCAGATTTGTCAAAGATCAGATGGTTGTAGGTGTGTGGTGTTGCCTTCAAGGCCTCTGTTCTGTTCCATTGCTTTCTATCTCCGTTTTGGTACCGGTACCATGCTGTTTTGATTACTGTAGCTTTGTAGTGTAGTTTGAAGTCTGGTAGTGTGATGACTCCAATTTTGTTCTTTTTGCTTAGAATTGATTTGGCTATGCGGGCTCTCTTTTGGTTCCATATGAAGCTTAAGGTGGTTTTTTCCAGATCTGTGAAGAAGGTCATTGGTAGCTTGATGGGGATAGCATTGAATCTATAAATTACTTTGGGCAATATAGCCATTTTCACGATATTGATTCTTCCTAACCATGAGCATGGAATGTTTTCCCATCTGTTTGTGTTCTCTCTTATTTCCTTGAGCAGTGGTTTGTTGTTCTCCTTGAAGAGGTCCTTTATATATCCTTTGTTAGTTGTATTCCTAGGTATTTTATTCTCTTTGTAGCAATTGTGAATCGGAGTTTGCTCATGATTTGACTCTCTGTTAGTCTGTTATTGGTGTATAGAAATGCTTGTGATTTCTGCACATTGATTTTGTATCCTGACAATTTGCTGAAGTTGCTTATCATTTTAAGGAGATTTGAGGCTCAGATGATAGGGTCTTCTAAATATACTCTCGTATCATCTGCAAATAGAGACAATTTGACTTCCTCTTTTTCTAATTGAAACCCTTTATTTTTTTTTTCTTGCCTAATTGCTCTGGCTAGAACTTCCAATACTATATTGAATAAGAGCGGTGAGAGAGGGCATCCTTGTATAGTGCTGGATTTCAAAGGGAATGCTTCCAGTTTTTGCCCATTCAGTATTATATTGGCTGTAGGCTTGTCTTAAATAGCTTTTATTATTTTGAGATATGTTCCTTCAATACCTAGTTGATTGAGAGTTTTTAGCATAAAGGGCTGTTGAATTTTGTCAAAGGCCTTCTCTGCATCTATTGAGATAATTATGTGGCTTTTGTCTTTGGTTCTGTTCATGTGGTGGATTATGTTTATAGACTTGCATGTGTTGAACCACCCATGCATCCTCAGAATGAAGCATACTTGATGATGGATAAGCTTTTTGATGTGCTGTTGCAATCAGTTTGCCAGTACTTTATTGAAGATTTTTGCATCTATGTTCATCGTGGATATTGGCCTGAAGTTTTCTTTTTTTGTTGAGTCTCTGCGGGGTTTTGGTGTCTGGATGATGTTGGTCTCATAAAATGATTTGGGAAGGATTCCATTTTTTTGTATTGTTTGGAATAGTTTCAGAAGGAATGGTACCAGCTCCTCTTTGTATGTCTCATAGAATTCAGCTGTGAACCCGTCTGGACCTGGACTTTTTTTGGTTGTTAGGATATTAATAGCTGCCTCAATTTCAGCCCTTGTTATTGGTCTATTCAGGGTTTCAACTTCTTCCTAGTTTAGGCTTGGGAGATTGCAAGTGTCCAGGATTTTGTCCATTTCTTCCAGGTTTACTGGTTTATGTGCATAGAGTTGTTTGTAGTAATCTCTGATAGTAGTTTGTATTTCTGTGAAGTCAGTGGTGATATCCCCTTTATCATTTTTTATTGCATCTATTTGATTCTTCTCCCTTTCCTTTTTTATTAATCTGGCTAGCACTCTATTTTTTTATCTTTTCAAAAAACCAGCTCCTGGATTTATTGATTTTTTTGAAGAATTTTTTGTGCATCTCCTTCAGTTCTGCTCTGATCTTATTTATTTCTTGTCTTCTGCTAGTTTTTGAGTTTTTTTTAACTTGTTCCTCTAGCTCTTTCAATTTTGATGATAGGGTGTCAATTTTAGATCTTTCCTCGCTTCTCTGGTGGGCATTTATTGCTATAAATTTCCCTCTAGACACTGCTTTAAATGTTTACCAGAGATTCTGGTACATTGTGTCTTCATTCTCGTTGGTTTCAAAGAACATCTTTATTTCTGCCTTCATTTCATTGTTTATCCAGTTGACATTCAGGAGCCAGTTGTTCAGTTTCCATGAAGCTGTGTGGTTCTGAGTTAGT